AGGTAAGAGCAGTGCGGGTACCGAGGGAGGAAGAAGCTCACTCTTGGAGGTGGCCACCTGAAAGTAACAATTGTGAAGGCTTCTCTGAAGCCCATTAATAATGTTTATTAATTATTAATCATTTCAAGTGATAGCACACAGCAAACACACAATCTGTGATCCCATTCTTAAGTTTTATTCAGGGGGAAAAAAATAAAAGTCCAAGATATGGGACAAAGAAATACGGTCTCATTGGAATAAACTTTGAAAACAAAGTAATGAGGAGGTATAGAATCTGTGTCTGGAGTTTACTATTTTTTGTTGCACTAATGCTCTCCTGACTTTCCTGCAGCGTTGCACTCCTTCTGGTGCTGCAGAAAAAGGAAGGGGTGACCCACAGAAGGGAGCCTCCTTCCTTTTGATGTTTCAGGCTTAGTTTACAACAGTATCTCACTGGGGAAAAAAAAAGAAAGTCGTACTGGTTTTGGTGGTAAAACACTACATTTGTCAAGTAAATATTTCATCACAAGCGCCACCGGGATTAGCGCGATCCTCGCACAGATTTTCTCCCTTCTCTGCAACTCTCCCTGGTTTAGTCACCTTACCTGAATGAAGGTAACACTCGGCCGAAGATTGACACGGGATAAATGAAACAATTGCATCCTTTCCATAGGGCTTTCCAGTGAATTGTACAATAATCCTGGGGGTGATTCATAATAAAAAATAAACATCCAGATAGCTTAGACCATTGCTTGCATTATTTTCTTATTTAAATATCTTAAGTGTTTTCTAATGCTGCACTGCTTATACCTCTCAGTCACAAATGCTGTCTTACAGTTCAAAGATGTTTGCTTTAAAGTTAATCCTTTGGGCTCTGTAAAATGGACCTTTTGTCTAATCAATGCAAATTGATTTTGCTATTCTGTATTGACCTCTCAACCCTTTGACTGTCCATGGTAATTTCTTTCTTCACCTGATAAGGTACCTGATCCATAATAAATCAATTCTAATTAGTTTGGAGACTTCACTGGGAGCATAAGTTTGTTGGAAAAAAAGCAGCAGGTTTCAGGTAGCTTTCTCATATCTCTCCATCTGTGGTTATTTTTTTTGCATAATTCACTATATTCTTGGATAATCCTGAGTCATAAATATATACACTGCTTTCTGCAGAGACAAGCCAGATTAATTTGGAATCATACTAATAAAACTAATCATACTAATTTTAAAGTATACTAATAAAACTAATCATACTAATTTCAAAGTATAAAATAATCTAAAACTAGACAGGTGCTAAGAGATACCGAATTTAAATCCAAAATTTCAGTGTTTCATTTTCTCATATACATACTGTCTCGGAATGTCCTGGCAGCAGCTTTTGAATGTCCAGCAGCCTGTGTCATTCTGTCTTGAACAAAAATCTGACTCCTTTGAATTTATTTCTGTAAGCTCAGAGAGGGATGCCCAAACTCAGGAAAAGTGTCTTTTTTCCCTCTCTCTCTCTCTCTTTTTCTGTCTTTTTTTGCTAGTTATTGCTTCTGGTGTTATGGTAAACAGGGGTTTGGGTAGCAAACATAAGTGCTGGAGAATTTTGGTTATTTTTTTATGCAACAAAGTCCTCGTTTAGCATGTTAGCTCTCAATAAGATTATTAGCCTTCTAGAACTTTTAACCACTATCTGCTCCTACCTAAAAGGCATACTAAAGGGGAAAGCTTTCCAAGAAAATGCCGGTGAAAACTCAAAATACGCATTTGTCACATCTCACCTCTCAATGTGTGATCAGTGCTGTATCGCTTTCTGTGTCCAAAAGATGTTGGGGTGCAAAGATGTGCCTTTTGGGAAGCACTGGTAAAACCACACCGTTTATAATATTATTTCCCTAAAGAAGCATGGGCTGCCCAAACAGCCCAGCAGTGCCTGCTCAGAGGCCATTTAGCCGATTGCTAATGAGTGCTTGGGCTCCGTGAAAGAGTTGAAAAGAGAGATCTTACTTTTACCAGCACCAATTCCAAACCTGAAGTATATGGGCAGGAAAAGAATTACATACATACATACAGATAGATATGTAGCTATAGATATAGATATGTAGATACATTCACACAGGATGGGATCAGTTGTTTTTCTAAAAGAAAGGCAGAACACACCAACCCAAACTGGAACTTAAAAAGAAAAGTCTTTGAAAGGTGGTAATTACTGTTTTGGTAAATTGCTCTAACTCTTCCACCCGTGACTACACTGTTTAAAAATCTGTCAACCAATTTACTTAGCTAGTTGATGACAGGGGGAAAAAAAGAGCCTTGCAGAAGGTAGGAGCCTGCTGATGGCAGATAAAGGCAGTTGCTGGCGGGCGGCTGGCCCTGCCTGCGCGGGC